GAGGGGACAGGTGAGGCTGCGCTGGCGGTGGGGGCCAGCGGCCGCTGCAATTTCCCACCGAGTTTTTCCTTGCGTGTGTTAAAGCCATCTTCCCTTGTAAGAATGAGGAAGGCTGCTTTATCTAAATAGTTTATCTGAACTGCCACCAAAAGGGTTCGTGATTGATGAAGGAAGTTACTTGCAATCTGGGATCGTGGTCTAAGCAGAAAGAGTTTCTGACTTTTGTATGACTGTGGAAAATACTACAAGATAGCAGAAGATCCCTAGTGCTGATGCTTCTAGGCCAGTATTTTGGACTAGCTGATCTTTCAGCGACTTAGGTTTTTCCACAGAACAGTGCAGAATCTGTTCCTTTGGTTGAGAATTCCAAGCATATTAATGCAATTTTGTCCAGTAGCTGGGACAAGACACTGTTACCACCTGGCACCTTCCACCCCGACTTAACGTTTTTCGTTTTAGCTGTTGATGACTCCTAGCCAGAGAGAGGAGATGAAGTTGCACAGGGAGGTACTACCAATAAAGACAGTCATTCCTGTCTGGAAATTGGTTATCTGTACCCTGAGATGAAGAGAGTAAAATCTTGGATGGTGTACTAAAATGAGGCTCTTCTGGTTTGCAATGCAAAAACTTGTCAAATAAGGCAAGGGCTGAAGTTGCTGGTGTTCTCTCTACCACCTCTCCCCACCCTACTCCCAGTGGCTACTGTGAAATAAACTAACAAGACATGACACTCAGAATTCTGACTGCAACTGAACAAAGCTGAAATTAATTTCTGAAATTCTCAAATGTGGACACACCATTTTTGTCCCCCACAGACATTCATATTCACAGACTGGGAGGATCAGGAGCTACGCCTGAAAGCAGGTAAGCTGTGTAGCATAGGTATACGCTGTCTTATAACTTGAGTTTTGTTTCTGTCATACTTTCCCTGAAGTCCTTATTTCATGCTGTACAAGCAATTGGGGAAGTTAAGATGAAGAAAATGGAGAAAACTTCTCCTTTCACAGGAGAATATGCTGTTTCTACTTACCACCTGGACAAGATGCCTGGAACTTCCTGAATACTGGGTTCACCTTTGCACCCACTTCCTTCCTGTTAGCAAGCTTAACTTTATCTGGGCGAAGTTATATTAGGTATTTCCTTTGCGTACAGTCTCATGGCACTATTTCTATACCCCGCACTCACGTGTTTTTATGTACCCCACAGCTTGCATGCCATATGCATAACCCATGAGCCCTGCCTGTCCTGCAGTTTACTCTCCATGTGTGCACCATATGCACTTCAGATGTATAGTATTAGTGCCAAATTTGCACTGCTTTTGTAGTCTTTTTTTGGACTACACATGCTTCTTAAACCTGAAAGGGCTGATCTTTAATTTTTCTAGGGGATCATATGATCAACACCAACTGTTCTGCTGTCCATACCCGGCAAGCTCTCTGCTGCAAGATGTCTGTGGAATATGATAAATTCCTGGAATCTGGGCAAAAGTAGGTGAAACACATTGTTCTGATTGACTTTGTTTCTTCCAGTTCTGTGCTCACAGGAAACTTGAGTAACCCTCTCTGCACTGGTAAGGACTGCAGTATCAGCTAAAACGTGGTGATGAACATAGGGAAGGGAGCACAGCATGAGGCAGTGTTTATAAACAAGCATCATCTGAAAAGTGGAAAGGATGATAATCTAAAGGGGGTTATTAATTTCTTTCCTAGTCTTTCCAGAATTAGGATCTGTGGGTGCTTCCAAATTCGGGACAATGGGAAATGTGTTCTGCTCCAAGCCTGAAAGACTAAAACTCAGCTCTAAACCCGTAACTCGTTTCTCTGTTGCTGCTTTGCAGTAACTTTCTTGTTTTGTTTTGTTTGAAGATGGTTTTGCCATGTGGACGATGACAACTATGTGAACCCTCGGACTCTCCTGCATCTCTTATCTGCTTTCTCACACAGCCAGGATGTCTATGTGGGGCGACCGAGTCTGGACCATCCCATCGAAGCAGCTGACCATGTCCAAAGTGATGGATCAGTAAGCAAACTTTGCAGTTAGTCTGAGAGACATCCTGACCTTCTAAGCTTTTAAAGCCTTGAGAGTTCATAGGATTCCCCCAGAAAAAAAATCTGCAAGCAATGAACCTGGCACTGGTCATTTTCAGAGACAGGGTGCTGGGTTAAATGAACCTTCGCTCTGACCTCATATGCATACGTACAATAGAGTTTGTCTCCTGGTGGATGTCTGTTTCTCTTCATTTACTCATGTACATTGGTGATTTCGCTCACACTGATGTGAGTAGGGCCTCCACACCTTGTGTCTTCCTTTAGGTGTTGTGGGGGCAGTGTTCCTTTTGTTCGGGTGTTGGGATTTGGGTTGGGGTTTGGGGTTGGTTTGTTTTGAGAGCAGTATGACATTGTCATCATCTTGAAACAAACTCAGGTGGGTGACAAAGGCTGTCTGGGTATGTAAGACATTTCCCATACTGAGTGGTTACTAGGTTTCCAAGAAGTAGAAGCAAACATATCTCAGTCACAAGATACATAGACGAGTCCTCTCCAGGACCTAGGCCTATAGTGACAGATCTAAAGATAAATCAATCCACTAGCCAGAAAGCGAGTTACAAAGCAGCTTCTTAGGGAAGACTACACAACAAAATAGTCTCCTTGGACATGGAGCTAAGTGACTAATGGGGTGCCTTTGATTTTCTCAGGAACACTGAGCTGGCTGTGACACTTGGCTAGAATGACTGGGGTACAGGTGGAATTGGGTGGGAGCAGGACTTTAGTTTCCCATTTCATGTGTGCTACCTCAGTTAACTTGATGGTTCACCTGCTGTCAGTTCCAGGAGAGAGTGTCATTTGAGACAACAGCTAGCTGGGCTTTCAGCAGCCTAAAGAAATAGGAATTAATCTGTAGTCTTGTTCTGACTCAAATGCAGTGTGTGATATCCAGTAGAATCTCAACTTCCCTTCCCTGCCCAGCCAAATGGAAAAAGCTGATTATCAGTAACTACTGTGTGTTTTTTCTTGTTGCTTTTCAGAAGACAACCGTGAAATTCTGGTTTGCCACAGGTGGAGCAGGGTTCTGTATCAGCAGAGGTCTTGCCCTGAAGATGAGTCCGTGGGCCAGGTAAACACTGGTCCTAGCTGAGCTCCATCAATGTCGTTGGTAGGCTTTAAAGCATATTTCATTTTGTCTCTTATGCTCTGTCTCACAGCCTGGGTAATTTCATCAGTACTGCAGAAAGAGTGCGTCTTCCTGATGATTGCACTATTGGCTACATCATTGAAGGGCTGCTGGAGGTAAAGCTGCTGCACAGCCCGTTGTTCCATTCCCACCTGGAAAATCTGCAGAGGCTACAAGGGGAGTCTGTGCTGCAGCAGGTAGGGCTAAGCCTCATGTCCTCTTCTTGTATATCTTATACAAGTCTTATGAGGAACGACTGACAGAACTGGGGTTGTTTAGCCTGGAGAAGAGGAGGCTGAGGGGAGACCTTATCACCCTCTACAACTGCCTGAAAGGAGATTGTAGAGAGGTGGGGGCTGACCTCTTCTCCCTGGTGACAAGTGAATGGGTTCAAGTTATGTCGGACAAGGTTTAGATTGGATATTAGAAAAATTTTTTTCACTGAAAGGGTTATTAAACATTGGAATAGGCTGCCCAGGGAGAGGTGGTGGATTCGCCATCCCTGGAGGTGTTTAAAAAAAGGGTAGATGTGGTACTTGAGGACATGGTTTAGGAGTGGTTTTGTCAGGGTAGGTTAATGGTTGGACTTGATGATCTTAAAGGTCCCTTCCAACCTCAGCGATTCTATGATTCTATAATTACACCTCAATCTTATCAGAAAGAGTACTCTCCATAGACTTAACACTCTTCAGCAAAGAACGATGTCTGCAGACTCACTCGGAGCTGTGTCTTGTCCAATTCCTTCATTTAGGTAAAAAGCATACTTTCACCCTAACCAATGAGGTGATATAGCTGACATGTTCGGCTACATTAAGCCTAAATATGGTGTTGCCCATCTTCTAAACTCTGACTTTCCTTAAGTCACAGTAGCAGCAGGTGTAGAAGGAGGCAATATTTAGTTTGCCTGACATGTAAGAAAGTATTTCTGTCTTCGCCTAACAAAGTCTCAGTCTTAATTCACACTGTTCAAAAAGACTAGTGTCACAGCTATAGAAGGTACCTCTTCAATAACTAAGACATTGTCAAATGTTTGATTGTTTTAAAGAATAACTTGTCTGAATTTCAAGAAATTTAATCTACGTTTCTCAGGAAAAACAAACAGTTTTAGGAAAAATTAGGTTTTTTAATTGCTGGGATACCTTTTTACTCTTGGGCAGTAGATGGAGCTATGAGGCCATCCAGCAGTTTTGTCTGCCTCACTGTTTGGCACCATGAAAAAATGAGAGTGCGGTTTTGCCCCTACAAACTGCATGGTTATATTTTCCTGGCAATTGTATTAGGCAGCAGCAATGTTTAGTTGGGGCCAAATTCCAGCGTAACGTAATCTTCATGTTAGTGAATTTAACTGTAGACTGAATACAGCCTGTCATTGGTGATCATTGTTTCCCTGGGAGTGTAACAGCTAACCTAAAAATCCAGGAAATCTACAATTAGAAAGAAAATACAAGTTGTCTTCTACCTGGCACCTGAAAATTTCTCAATATAGTGCTGTGTGGATGAATAGCACTGATTTAGAGTTCCAGAGATCTAAATTTTGTTGCCAGGTTTGTCACATGGCAGTCCTTTGCACGCCATTTTAACATCCAAATGTTTTTATTTTCCCTCTGTGCTAAGACACTACTATTGCAGACTTCAGGCAATGTCTGGTGAGGATGAACATACGTTATTCAGTGAAGGTACACACATTAGCAGTATTAATGCCTCTGCAAAGCTTAGAATTGTAACTCATCTTGTCCTTCAGGGCAATGCAACTTTCAGCTCCTTTGTTTATTCTCCCACATTGCAGTAGTCCATTTGATAGCTACTATTCAGTGCTGGTATTGCTAATGTGAAAACTAACCACTGTTTTTCAGATGTAATCAACGGTTCAGATCAGACAGGATCCTTGGAGTCTTTCTTCATATCTCATTAATAATCCTGCTATCCCCACTCTGTTTTTCTGCATTTGTGCTACAATTCCTGAATATTTATTTGCTTTTACAGGTAACCCTAAGTTACGGGGACCCTGAGAACAAACACAATGTTGTGAGTGTGGGAGGAGCATTTGGCCTTCAGCAAGATCCAACCCGGTGAGAGTCCACTTCTAAAACAGGATCTCCCTGCCTTGTTCATGTTTATCAACTGTAAGATGATAAAACTCATTAATGGGGTTATTTTCTCATGCCAGCTCTTGTCACTGTGCCAAAGGCAGGTAGACCCACCCTCTCTCCTCTATTAGACTGCTGTACATCCAATGCTAGTATGTTCCTTGTATGGAGAATTCCAATCTAATATTTTATTTTATTTTTTTCTTCGTAGATTTAAATCTGTCCATTGTCTGCTCTATCCTGACACTATTTGGTGCCCTGCTAAGAAGAGGTCATAATTCCCGACCAGTCATTGGCAACTGTATCTAACCTAGTTTGCATAAGACAGAAGTTGTGGTGGACTTTTTTGGGCTGGTGGTTTGTTTGGGTTTTTTCCCTTCTGGGAGACAACCAGAGGTATCTACAAAGGAGGTAGACAGACTCTACAAAAGCAAGAAGGTGTGGTTTGTTCAGCTGCAGCCTGGGACATTCCAAGAAGAATCCTTGTTCTTTTGTCTGGTGGCTCTTCGTTTAATGACTACAGTCCCGTGAATCTGTGCTTGGACTCCTAGGCAAATGCAGTATTTGGACTGATAGCATTCTTACTACTGTTAGGGGCTTTTAGAGGCCATTGTCTTGAAGCTGGAGTGCTATAGCAGACTGTAGTCCCCATGGTGACAAGAGAGGGGAAGTTTTCACTTGTCTTTGAGCTTCTGTGTCCTGCCATATTAAAACTCCACCTGTGGCCTGGAACGGGGTTTGTTCATAAACACCAGGAATCACTAGTGAAAACACAGTGGAATCACTAGGGTAAACAAGGCTGAAAGCTTTGTCATGGGAACACACTGTGTTAAGGGTAAGCTTACTCAGGACGGGATAAGGGTTGCTTACAGTGCATATTCTCCCCTGTAGTCCATGTGTACCTCCCATGGAGGTGATTGCCAGACTTGGCTCTCTTAGCAGCTGAATTGCAGTAGTTGTTGATTATGATGGTGGTCTCCTGGGTCCAAGACTACTCCCTTGATATTTGATGCTGAAGAAATATTTGCCAGCCTAGATGGTAATCATTTCTCCTGCTTTGCCCACAGCAGGTTGTATGAGCTAGAGCATGCTCATTGGCTGATGAAACACACCCTGTTTCTGAAGTTGTGCTGTAGTCTTTTGCTGTCTGTGAGTGAGGAGGAATGCTACATTGCTGTAATGCCCCGAGGAAGTTTTGATGGTATCATTTGAGGACCTTTAATTGTATGACTGTGGTTATTCCACGTCAGCTTCTTCAGATAATCTTTTGATTACCTTAAGCTCAAGATCAGTGTTTATTTTTACTCTACTTCTTAATGTTTCAGTAAATAGTTCATGCAGTTGCTAAAAGCAGACTGCACATTCAAACAAAGGCAGGAGTTCAGTGCTGTAGCAGTATCACCTGCTGCTGTTTTTTAAATAAAGTAAGCTTAGTTCTGAAAGTGGAAGAAATGGGGCTCTGTATGTTTACTTTTCTGTTAGCCCATATTTTGGCCATGTGCAATCCTTACCTGACATGAAGAACAGCATAAAAAAATGACTTTGCAGAACCACTGTTTACTCTTACAAACTTTTCAGAAAATACTTGCTGGTTTAGTGCTAGAGTCTGAGGCTGAATTAAGGGGCGAATAGTAGAATGACATTGTATGGCCTGGAACTATGGTTAACGGCTAGAATGTAGACCTAGCAAAAAACTCAGAGTTCTAAACAGCTGTGCTGAGCTGTACTGTGGACTTCAGCTAATTGCTTCACTTCCTGACACTTGAAAAGTGCTATAATGTAGGCAAACGCCTGCAGTGTGTTCAAGTATGAAACTTAGCAGAGATCTCAGCCTCCTGAAGTACACTGTTTCCCTGCACTCTATTTTTAACACAAACCTTTTGGCGTTTACCTGTGTGCATTGTCCTCTCTGTGTGATTTTTAGTTAATTCCACTGAGGATCAAACAAGATGACTGCTACTTGCTACAGTCCTGCAGCTCATTCTAAATTCCTCCCTTCCTTCATGTCTGCTAAGGTGACCATGAGGTATGGGAATAAGAATGCTGCAGGGAATCAGATCGAAGTCCAGCTAGCACAGTGGCTGTTCCATAACAGGTACACTGGTAACACTGACAGCCTTTTACAGAAAATGGAGGAGGACTTGTGGAACAGTAGGTTGTGGTATGTTGTACTTCTTTATTAGGTCTTCCGCTTACTAGAACTGAGGCATCCTATGGTTTAATGATTCATCATTAATAGCTCTAGGGATTCCTCATATCTATATAAATACTTTTTTTTTAAAAACACTTGTTAGGTTTGTGTTTTCAACCTCCTGTAGCAGAAAGCTGTGAAACTTCATGAGCTCTTGATGAAATTTTGTCTTCAAACACTGATTCTGAACTCTTCTGTTGGAGCTCTTCTTCCTCTTCCACTGGTAGCAGCCTCTTGTAAGAGATCACAGACAGCATGGACTGGGTAGTGATTATGTGGCAAAGTGCAGGTCAAAAATGACAACGCTTCGTATGGATGGCAGCAAAAGTGAGTAGCAGAAGTTTCACACTAGTCACTGGTCACCTTAAGCTAGGTGTGCCAAAGAGGCAGCATACTCTAAGCTGGTAGGGTGTTTATTAATGGGAAAAGGACCACGTTCTCCTGCGTGGCAATACAGAACTGTTCAATGTGTTCCAGCTTCTTTTAAGGTTTCTTGTGTTGACAATACAGTAGGCTGTGTGGATATATCAGGATGCAGCTTGTTAATCAAACTACTGTCTCATACATAAAGTGACTCTATGAAATAAATATTTAAATATATCAAAGGCTGTGTTTTGTCTTGTTTCTTGACACATTCTCTACACCAAAAACGGACTATAAACTCTGTAAACAAGAAAACTACAGCCTCCTGTGTTGTGATGCCAAATGAACAAAAAGCATGTGAGTTAAGATGACTTGGATGTGCACAGGAACAAATATGGATGTGAATAATCTTTTGCAGATGATGATTAACAGAGTAAAAGAATTGAAATAAGGAATAAGTTAATTGTTTGTGAACTTGTCTCAGTACTTTGCTATTCTGTTTCTGCCACAGGAGCTCTTAAATTTAAGAGTCCTCAGAAAGCAATGGAACTGTTAATAGGGTGCATAATTACACAGAATCACAGACTGGTCAGGGTTGGAAGGGACCTCTGCGGATCATCCAGTCCAACCCCCTGCCAGAGCAGGGGCACCCAGACAGAGCAGGTTGCACAGGACGGTGTCCAGGCAGGTTTGGAATATCTCCAGAGTCAGAGACTCCCCCCCCACCTCTCTGGGCAGCCTGTGCCGGTGCTCTGCCACCCTCAAAGGAAAGAAGTCCCTCTTCATATTTAGACAGAACTTCCTGTGTTCAAGTATGTGCCTGTTACCTCTTGTCCTGTCACTGGGCACCACTGAAAAAAGACTGGTCCTACCCCCCAGCACCCTCCCTTTGAGTATTGGTAAGCGTTGGTAAGATTCCCCCCTCAGTCTTCTCTTCTCCAGACTAAAAAGACCCAAGTCCCTCAGCCTTTCCTCATAAGAAAGATGTTCCAATCCCCTCATCACCTTTGTAGCCCTTTGCTGGACCCTCTCCAGCAGTTCCCTGTCCTTTGTGAATTGGGGAGCCCAGAACTGGATGCAGTATTCCAGATGTGGCCTCACCAGGGCAAAGTAGAGGGGAGGATGACCTCCCTCGACCTGCTGGCCACACTTTTCCTGATGCCCCCCAGGATGCCATTTGCCTTCTTGGCCACCAGTGCACATTGCTGACTCATGGGCATCCTGTTGTCCCCCAGGACTTGCAGGTCCTTCTCCACAGAGCTGCTCTCCAGCAGGTCAGCCCCTAACCTGTACTGGTGCATGGGGTTATTCCTCCTCAGGTGCGAGACCCTACACTTGCTTTTGCTGAATTTCATTAGGTTCCTCTCTGCCCAACTCTCCAGCCTGTCCAGGTCATGCTGTAAGGCAGCACAGCCTTCCGGCACGTCAGCCACCCCTCCCGGTTTCGTGTCATCAGCAAACTTGCTGATGGTACACTCTGTCCCTTCATCCAGGTCATTGATGAATATATCGATCAGGACTGGACCCAGTACTGACCCCTGAAGGACACTGCTCGTTACTGACCTCCAACTATACTCTGCACCACTAACCACAACCCTCTGAGCTCTAGCTGCCAGCCAGTTTTCAATCCACCTCACTCTCCATTCATCTAACCCACACTTCCTAAGCTTGCCTGTGAGGATGATGTGGGAGACAATGTCGAAAGCCTTGCTGAAATCAAGGTAGACAACATCCACTGCCCTCCCCTCATCCACCCATCCAGTCACACCATCATAGAAGGCTATCAGATTCATCAGCCATGACTTCCCCGTGGTGAATCCATGTTGACTACTTCTGATAACCTTCTTTTCCTCCAGATGCTTGCAGATGACGCCCAGAATGAGCTGTTCCATCATTTTTCCATGGATGGAGGTGAGGCTGACCGGCCTGTAGTTTCCCGGGTCATCCTTCTTGCCCTTTTTGAAGACTGGAGTGACATTGGCTTTCCTCCAGTCCTCAGGCACCTCACCTCTTCTCCAGGACTTAGCAAAGATGATGGAGAACAGCCCCACAATGACTTCCACCAACTTCCTCAGCACTTGCGGGTGCACCCCATCAGGGCCCATGGACTTGTGGGTATCCAGTTTACTTAATTGTTCTCAACTTGTTCTTCTTCAACCAAGAGAAAGTCTTACTTCCTCCAGACTTTGTTACTTGCAAAGTCTGGGTCTCCCGAGCACTGGCCCGAACAGTGAAGACAGAAGCAAAGAAGGCATTCAGCAACTCCGCCTTCTCTGCATCATCTGTCACCACGGCACCTGTCTCATTCAACAACGGGCCCACATTTTCCCTAGTTTTCCTTTTGCCTCCCATGTACTTAAAGAAACCCTTCCTATTGGCCTTGACATCCCTCGCCAGATTTAATTCCAAGGCTGCCTTGGCTTTCCTTGTTTCCTCCCTGCATACCCTGACAGCGTTCTTATACTCTTCCCAAGCAGTCAGCCCCTTCTTCCACATACTGTAAACTTCCTTCTTCCACTGTACTTGCCTTGCAGCTGTACTTGTACTTGCAGCTGATTTTCCAGGCTACGACTGTTAGACAACGGCTGCCTACAAGCTTCATCAGCAACTGCAAGTGGGCGGCGCGGGCAGGTCTGCACCTTCTGGTGAAAAGCCACTTTTTCTGTGGTCTCTCACTGTGACGCTTCAGTGAGAACCAGAGCCAGGAGAACGCACCTCTGCGTGCCCGCCTGCGGCCGGGATAGCCCAGAAATGGCTTCGGGGGAGCGGGGCGCTGCGCAGGGTGGGCCCGCGCTCTGCCCCCTCGCAGATGCCCGCCCCGCCGCGCCACC